GGGCATACATCATACAGTACAGCGCGGGCCCTCCCGCCTAATGACATGCATTTACGTTCCATTAGCTCTGAAAGGGTAAACAGGATTGAGGAAGCAGCTCACTCAGAGGTAAAACCACATTTTTTCTGATCTAATATCTTGAACATTATTTGTTGCAACGTCAACCTGCAAAATGAAAAGGCTCATTGATATAATAAGCATGGAGGGAAATTGATGATTTGTGTGATCGCCCAAGAAAGAACCATAACTTTGAGTCATATGCTGTGGTGTTTAATTGCGGTGATCCAATTTATTCACTGTGATGTTGTCATCTACTACCAAAATCGCTTTCTGTTTGTGCAGGGGAAATGGTCAGGGTCTCGAAATCCTTCACATTTCTTGACAGCTGAAGGACCAGGATTCTTTTTACAGTTTGACATTTTTTTTTTTTTTTCAACGGAATTGCTCATGAGGTTAATTTAGCAGATGATACTCAAGAACAAGGACTCTAGATATTTTCACTAAGTAATTTAAAACCTGCATCAACCAGAGGCCGCAGTTCATGGATTCAATTTGTGAAATACCTTGAGTGAAGGCAATTTGAAAAATAGTATTAGATTTTGGAGAGTTGTGTGTTTTTGTTGTTAGCCTTTCTAACTCAAGAAATACACAGAAATGTAAGGAATGGAATTAACTGTGTGTTCATAGTATTTTATCCTATTAGGCATTTATGTGAAATTGTCATAGTTATCAATTCTTTGGCCAAAAACATATTTTTATAAGGTCACAGTGACCTTTGACCACCAAATTCCAATAAATTCAATTTTGAGTCCAGGTGGACATTTGCACCAAATTTCAAGAAATTCCCTTCAGGCGTTCCTGAGATATCACATTCACGAGAATGGATCGTATGGACGGCGGACAAAATGCCTTCGAAGATCCTTTCTTGCTTCTCTTTTTCAAGTCAAAGATAAGATAAGAAAAGCCTTAATTGATTCACTTCAGGTGATACAGCAGCGTAAGGACATAAGTAGCCTACAGATAAACAGATAAATAAATTTAAAAAAGAATAAATAAAATAGGTTTAGGCTATCCAACTAGCATACAAATAGAAGTAAAAATATGAACTATACAAGAGCAATTAAAAACAAAGTTACGAGGTAGAGGGACATGTTGTGGTTAATAGCAGCAAGGTCTCCTATGCAAACAGAACACACCATAATAACATGTAATGTGATTAGGAAAATATAGTATACAATAACACAAGTCAGCTGGCTTCATCTTTTTTAACCAACTCATGAAACTATAATGTTAGCTTAATTAGCTAAGCTAACTACAGCTGATGACAGCAGCAACAATTGGCATTTCAGCAGGCAAAAGTTGCAAGTCGCTGGCCATAAATGAGAACCATACTTTTACCTGCCAATATGAGTCTGACATCAAGGACCAATTGTGTAAAAATAAACCTAAGAATTCAAGTGGTGGACTTGACAGCCGTAGCAACCAACGCCTAGCTAACGGTCAGTTAGCTGGACGGTACTTGTAGCCGCTACACGGCTCATATAAAAAGAGCATTGACACAAACACTATGGGGAGACAGTTATCTTTGGCTCTGTAAAATTATTAAATTAAAGTACAACTAACTTTTTGAATATGTTTAGCCCACACGGTATAGGGGACCATAGTGACTCTTGATCATACCAGTTTTGTGTTGGAATAGTTGGACAGCTGTTCATCATCAGACATACCTTTATTCAGATTCAAAAGCCTTTAGATGTTGTAATGAAAAGACCTCTTAGTGTCGAGAAGCAGCCGAGACCAAAGCTACTCTCAACCAGCCGCAACTCAAAAAGAGGTCAGTTTGCCTTTTAATGACGGAAACTAGCATTTTGATTAAATGATAGATTCACCTTTGTCTGGTTTAATCAAAGATACTTGTCAGGGCTGCAGATAAGATGAACACCTGGCATGTCCTTGTTTCAAGGTTACCTGCATCATAAAGCAGCGTTATCTCTGGGTTGGAGTGCATGTCAACACTGAATAAAAAGCTTCCTGCAAAATGCAGTATAATGGTGTGAATCTGTTCCTCTCGTCTGTGTCGTCTTTTATAGCTGTGGGTGAGACCTGGAGTGGCATTCAGTGCATTGGTGGTGTGATAAACCAGATGCCGACCAGACATACTTGACTGGAAACATGTAAGGACATAGAAAATTCTTGACCGTACCATGAAAAAGTAATTCAATTGCAAGTTGAAATTCGTCTTTTTCGTGCAACTGATGGATTTTGGAAATACCCTCAGAACAGCAGTAACTGTGGGGGTTATTAAAATATAGCAGGATGTATATCTTTAGGAAATATGGATGCCTACCTCTGTGACTCAAATGTAAAAGCTAGGCTAACAAGCAAATACTGTGTGTGTGCGTGCATGCAATCCTATATCTGTGTTTGCATGCAAAAGAAAGAGAGTTAGATTCAATTCAATAAGAGTGGGTGCATGTGTTATTTCTGCCGGGCTTCACACATTGAGTGGACAAACAATCTATTCCAATTAAAGCGAGCTGCAGCCCTGGTGACTGCAGAAGTGGCTGTGCTCCATCGGATCACATCATCCTTCGAAAAACACCAAGATCGGCTGATTGTGGTTTGAAGGGGAGCAGGGCCCTTCAGGTACAGCTCGTGAGGCCTGGCAGCAGGATGGGGGTGGGTGACAGTCTGGCTCCAAGTTAGTCCGGAAAGTTTCTCAGCAAACAGTGCTACAACTAAGGTGGAGGGAGGCGGGGGGGCGCCCGGGAGGAAGGCAAGGCCATTAATTCTGGTTGTAGCCCCGGTTTACCGCTCTTACTGCATGTGGGCTGAGAAGGCAAATTAATTATGTGGCTGAGATTAATTAGGTGATGTTAAGGGAAATCTGTGACTGTAAAACTTTCGAGGGCTGCACAGCTGACTAGACTAATCGGGCGTTCATGAACTCTTAATAGATGCTACTCTGATGTTGAGTTGTGGGCAAGTAGAGCACAGAGAGACAGCCAGAAAACTAGAGGGAGCAGAGACGATACTGAAAGTAAATTCAGCAGAAAGTTGCTTCATCTTGGAAAACCTGCACAAGCTTGAGCTTCAGCTTTATATTATTTCCAAGTACATATTTTTCCCCCTTTGTTTAAAGCTATATATAATCAATATTTTTCTATTAACAATGGATCAAAATATTTGACCGGTCATAGTGACGAACCAACCTGACTCTGCAGTTCCACTCTGAGCTTTTTAGCTTCTTTCAACTTACCTGTTCTTTGGGTTTATGGCATTTTTTTCTGTTTCATACATCCGTGTTGTTTCCACCCGCAGCTCGCAGCAATTTCAAACAAAAAAGCTCTAAAACCGGACTTTACACGACCTGTCCAGCCCCAGCACAACCTGTACACAAACAAAAGCTAGTGACTTGCTGGCAGAGGTGGAAGAAGTATTCAGGTCCTTTACTCAAGTAAAAGTACCAATACATATGTGTAAAAATACCTCATTACAAGTAAATGTACTGCCTTCAAAATCCTACTTAATGTGAAGTTAAGTGAAGTAGTAGCAGTATGTACTTAAAGTATCAAAAGTAAATGGTGGATCTGCTAACTCATAGACAATAGAAACATGATAAGGGGCCCTGACTACTAATTGGTTTCGGTAGGTAATATAATATAGAAGCAGAAAGTAAAGAGTAAAGTACAAATACCTCACAACTGTACTCAAGAAAATGTACTAAGGTACTTTCCAGCATTAGTGCTAAAGCTTAACATTATTCCAAAGTATGTTTTCCTCCTCTTGTTCTTCAATAAGTGACCTTGCAGTTTGTGGTGTTGAGGTTAAAACAGGTTTATCTGGAAATTGCATCAGCCCTTGTTCGACACAGAGAAACCCAGACCTCGCCTTGCCCGCTGTATTCTTGATTTGAAGTGAGGAAAACTGCATTTCTGCGAGTTCCTCCAGATGTGACGGCTCTAATCTGGAGACCCGGCACCTTCAAAGCTACACTAAAAGCATAACATGCCAGTTGTGTGTTATCGCCGCACATGCCAAATGATGCAAGCAGCTCACTGATAATCTTACAGCAGAGATCTGCCTTTCTCTACGCCTGCAGCCAAACCTGTTCCTGACGATAGTGTTGAGTAAGACTATCAACACCTATCACTATTAAAAACGCATGCTAACTGCAGGCAGATCAGGGAAAAACATTCCTGCTCTCTGAGGGCACAAAGAATAAGAGAGACGGAATGAAAGAAATATTGCTTTGGTCTGCATTTAAGGGTCAATGAGGTTAACATCCTGTCTGCAGAGTCCCAGTAAGCCCCTCGAGTTAATCTAGGCCACATTCAAATACGAAACAGCTACTGTAGTTTTTTTTGGAGCTTAATGTCTTTGAGACGGTGCTGCTGATGTTTTCAAAGTAGCAATAAGATTTGAATAAATAATCCCTTGCCGCTCTAAAAAATAAATAACTGAGTAAGAAGACTGCGCCCTTGGGCATAAACAACTTCATGTTTTGATTTCTCATGGTTTGGATTGTGCTTGAATCTGACTTTACCTATCTGCCCACTCTCGATTCTCTTATCCTAATTTATCATAGTAAAAGTTACTCTAAATATGTGTATACAACCCTGACAGTTAAAGCGTTGTATTAGTGGTTGGATGAGTTAAGCCAGCTTCCCAGCAGCACAACTATTTGTTTCAAGTATAACACTGTGGTCGACACAAGCTGACAGAGGGGGGAGTAAACAGGGAATTCAAGAGAGTTCAAAACAACTTGTCAATAAATGTAAATGCATTCAGAAAACAGTGTGATCCAGTAATCCACAGAGATGGGTGCAGTCTGTACTCAGACACATGCTCGTGCCAGTTAACTGAGCGGAAATCACGACTCAAGTCATCCTGTTTGCTTGTTAAGATCTGAAGACAAACCGCAACAGCAGACGGATACATAATGGATGAATAAAAATAGATAAATAAAGAAGAAGAAAAAAAAAAAACATCAGACATTCTAAAAATAAAATACATCTTTATTATGGTATTAATTCTTCACTTGAAAAAACTATTTACAGTACACCGCAACGATCGGCAAATATATGATGAGCATTTTTTTTTACTTCTTTGTCTTACAGAAAGAAAAACGGACTCGTGCCTGAAAGTGACTGAGAAAATCATAGCAGCAGCAGGTAAAGGTCCTTCAGAGAGCTTAATGCAGTTAGACGTTAATAATGTCATATTATATGAAGCGAAACGTGAGGGTATGACAATATTAAACTGCCTGGTACTTATCTCTATGGAACACATTAACTGGCACAGTCCAAAGTCTGAATGTCATCGTACGTCTTTGAACAGCAGTGATTGTTTATAACAGGACACAGAGAAAATGTTTAACAATGAAAATAAAAAAAACATGCACCAACGGAGCGTGTCATGAACTGCAGTCCGCCCTGATATTTGGCTCGATCATACTCCTGTAACAAACGTACTAGTACAAAAATAGACTTGGTTTAAATTTACATTAGCTTTGTCTCTTCATCTACGTTGTTAGTGAGGAAAACAGATTATCCCAGAGCCACTCTACGCCAAACTACCGAGACTCTGACGTTCATTTCCAGTTGAATGTTCGGCCCACCAGCTCAAAGAACTTCTTGTTGGGTTCCTGAAAGAACTGGTAGAGTTTCTGCAGGATGGCGGGCGCCACATGAGGGTGAGCCCTGCCCTTTGAGTCATGTAAACACCGCTCTCGCCCGTGGTCCCTCAAACAGTAGAATCCTTTTGTTTTGTTGAAGTAAAAATTCGAAGCGTTTATCTGGGGTTCCAGCTTTAAGAACCTCTCCACCTTCTTCATCTCGGGGAAGGGGTCCCTGATCAACTCATCCCCGTCCACCACGTGGATGCTCTCCAGTGGGAAGTACTTCAGCCAGTTCTGCATGTGAACATAGTACAGGCTGCGATTGAGAGCCTTGTATCCCAGGTTGATCTCGCCGTCCTTCACCAGAACGGACTCGATGGGCTGGTAGCGCTTGTGCTTCTGGAGGCGGTTGTAAAAGACCTGGGTGTAGTCTGACAGCACCCGCTCCGTGGGGTCTCTGAGGATGAGCAGCAGCTTGGTGTCAGGGTTCACCTGATGGATGCGCTTGGGGACTTTGCTGGAGGTGAAGTAGGCCGGCGTCTTCTCTACGGTCAGCTGGTCGGGGAAGGCGTAGGGCATCTGGCTGAGATACCAAGGTAAGCCCTTCTGGAAGTGGCTCTCCCAGTCGAAGAAGTGCACCTCGTTCTGAGCCGCCGCCACCGCACTGTGCAGACTGAGCATCTCTATCAGCGCCCGCGTCCCCCCTTTCCTCACACCAATAATAAGGATCTGAGGAAGCTGTTGGAGGGTGCCGTTTAGGTGGCTGGTGGCGTTGTCGGTGGGCGACGAGGTGGGAGGTGGCCCCTCGTCGACCATGGGCCTGGAGGGGACGGGGGGAGACTGCATTGCAAAGAGCAGCAGCCCGAGGAGCATGGCTGCCATGAGGGAGGTCCTGACCCTGGAGGATTTCAGCCTGGCGAAAGCACCAAAACTGTATCCCACATTGAAAGAGCAGCTGCTTGAGCACAATGGTCCAATTGAAAAGAAAAAAATTGCCTCTTCTCTGCCAGCAGCAGTAACTGCAAGGGAGGAAAACAGCTGCGATTAGGATATACCTGGCAAACATCTGGCAGAGGGACAAAACACTTCTGGAAAATACAGAATCCATCCCACACATATAAACAACCTCTGATCATAAACATTCTTATGACTCAAAGGGAGCAACATTTGCATGATAACAAATCTATCGAGGTGATTAAACTTTAAACTCCACCCAGCAATATCTGCAAGGCAAAAACAATAAATAATTAACGTTTTAAACAAGAAAAAAATGTTTTCAGTACAGTAATAATCTTTATTTCATGTCCTTAAAAACAAAAATGTTTCAGTGTCATTTATGTACCTATAACAAAGCAATATATCCAAAGGATTTACAGCATAAAAAACACAGATCACCTTGAGAAACGGTGTATTTTGTATTAAATAAAAATGTACAGAAACGGAGTTTATCTGGTTTTAGTCTCTAAACTACTGCTTTACAATAATGAATTTAAAAAAACGTGATGCAATAATATAAATATTGACTTTAGTTAATACGTGTTCAAGACTGAATCCGAGCTCGGAGATGTCCACGGGCTACGGAAAAGACGCAGGTGTGGTGATTATTGCACAATAAAAAAGGACAACAGAAACTATAGATATGATATGTGCGCGCATGTTTTATCTGCTTCTCTTCCTCGCTCTCTCATTGAACTGAGACATCCACCAAGTGCCGCTGATCTCTTACCTTTTTTTTAACTAAATGCCTCTCGACTCGACACCGATTTCATTACGTGCAGCTCTGAGCTCCGATACCTCCGACACCGCGGGGGGGAAAGGAAGGGATCCAGCTCTCTGCGCTGTCCCTCCGGTCTCTTCCGAGCGCACACAACTCGCCTCCCGAAACGGCGGCACCAACTTCACCGGAGTAGCCTCCTCTTGTGCTGTGCGTCCGAGCCAGGCGGGTCCACACGGCTCTCTTGGTTGTCAGACGTTGAAGCCTACGCCTACTTTACGTCTGCAGGACCACTCCCCCTCCTGTGACTCACGTCGTTGTAATGTTATGGTATTTGAGGGCGATAACGCTGCTGGCAGGGGTGACGTGCGGGGAGGAGGTGGTGTGTGATGTAGAAATGTGACCCAAGAAAGTGGAGAAAATAACAACACTGTGATTATGGGTTATAGAGCAGCAGGAAAAAAATGCTCTAATCTTGCAGGGAGATCTTTTTGTGACTGTAGCTCAGATGAGAGACTATTTAACCAAGAAGCCCAACATATTCAAATCAAGCAGTCTGACTTGCTCTTTGTACAAATTTGTAGCCCATAGAGAGTCTGCGCCTTCTCAGGATTTGGGTTGAAAAAGGCTTTTCAGCGGAGCCTCCAGGAGTCCTCCCTCCGCTCTGCTTTCAGGGGAAATCAATGAAAGAGACAGACCAGTTATTCATCCCTTGCATTCTTCTCCTCCTTTGTCCACAGTACAAGTGCATCTGTGGGAAGTCGCAGAGTCCAAGTTGCACAATCTCACCACCTGTTGAGCTGAATTTTTTACATTTTACAAAGTGGAGATGCTCAAATGCTTCCAGCAACAGCAAGCACCCAACTATCCAATCCACACTGCAGATGTACTGATGATGAATACAAAGTCGTATCTCGCAATTTCCTCTGAGTCACATTTTGTATGTACAGTCAGCGTGAGAAAGTTTGAGTGACTTCACAGAGTCGATGAGTAAGTGCAACATCACTAAAGTCAGATACCAGTTTGTGGTGAGCTGCTTGTGACGCCCAACATGTGTTCATATTCATGATGTGTTCACGTGAATCCTAAATTATAGCTGCAATCGGCTGTAGAATCAAGTATAGCCTGCTTCCCATGCTGACATGAAGCTTAAAGCCTGGAAGGCTTAAGGGTTTCCCAACTGAATATGGATGTCGATCTGATTTTACCCAGTGTTTGCGGAAAACTATTCTGCTGTGTAGGTCATTTAAGTGAAGGCCAGTACTCACATTAAAGCAACACTCAACGTGTACAAGAAGCAGGAGGTTTGGTGCCACAGCAAAAGGTCGACCCCACTTCTTAAAATACATCCTTTCCTAGAGAGAATGCAAACGGGTGTTCTTTACTTATTCTCTTCACAGAGTATAAATGCTGACACGGCCGAGAGTTTCACCCCCACATTGATTTTTAGATGCAGTTTAGTAATCCTCACATTCTGCCGTCGTCTCTCCTGGAGAAATGTAAATTCAGCGAAGTCGTGGAGCCGGCTCATACAATATAACCCCGCTTTGAGGATCATCAGAAGCGTCCGACTGCATTAACATGACAATAGTACATATTCACAGACCGTAAATACCCTCAGCGCCACCTCAGCGACTTCCCTCACCCTCAGCTCTAAACAGGAGGGGGAAACAAAAATAGCTTCTCCGTGCTTTAATGGGGGTCACATCTACAGCATGTTTCATCTTTAAAGTGATAAAAACTCCTTCTCAGTGAACACTTGTAAATAGGGTTTCATGACTTTACAGACACATTAGGTGTCTGACCCAAACAGACAAATCTTGCAGTGATCAGCACACTTGTGTCAAACTGTGTATGGCATTAAAAACAGGCTTTATCTGGCTCTGGCAGGCTTACCAGATTCTAAATGGGTTCACAGATTGTTATGGGTACATAAACAATATGCCTGCTGTGTGCTGTGTGTGTGTGTGTGTGTGTGTGTGTGTGTGTGTGTGTGTCGTAGCTCTGATACTAATCTGTCTTGTGAAAATACTGTAAGACCTGTAAATGTGTGTTTAATGTACGTTTTACCGACTCACACAATAAGATGTTTTATGCCATTACTCGCATGTTTTGCAGAGGATACTCTAAACAGCTGTTAATCTCTTATTCATAACCAACTTCCTCCAATTAAAACCGAGCTGTGATCATATTTAGGCAAAATTTATTGCTGTCTAACACATAATTACACAGAAACAGAGCCACGCATGGAGGACTTCAAATATTTCCATTGAGGAAAGCATCACTTTTTTTATGGACACAAAGGCAAAGCTTTGACAATTCTGCAGGCTTTACTGGTGTAACATTAGGCTGCTTTTCCACTTCATATTCTGCTTTTCTAATTTGTTATTATTAGTTTTCTATTCAACGCGTAGCTACACCTTCAGGGTACAAACGGTATTATTGTTCAGCTTCTATTCTCCAAATTAATATTCTTGAGTCGGAAATTTGAATTTCTTGTGATGCTCATTAGGTTATTTTTTTATTTTGTTCATGAATATTCAATACATTATGCTTCTTTGTCATGCTAAACACCTGAGGAGGAACAACAGTTATTCCTCCACTCAATGTCTATTATTTTCTATTGCCTGTTTCCGCAGTTTAATTATATGCACTGTGAATCATCGCTCACCCACCAGTGTCACACGACAGGTCACACTATAGCTTCAGCTCTTTAACCAAACCTCTACTTTGTTCCAGTGGGTTTACTGTATGGATCATTACTGCAATTGTGTATGGTGGTTATACAAGATGATGGCAAATGACACAAATAATAATAACTCAAAAATGATCTGATGACACGTCGCTAGCTGTCAGGTCGAAACAGAGAAAGCTATAGAAACAAATGTCTGCAATTTAAATGAATCTCTTTGTTGCAGAAAGTTTCTCAAATATATTTATTTAATATGTTTTCAACTGTGACAGAAACATGTTTAAAAAGAAAGTGTTTGTTCTACAGTCTTTGTTTAATTAGCCTTCATTTAACCAGGTACGTCCCATTGAGATCAAAGATCCCTTTTATTCTGGGTTTGTGATCAGAAAACCTTTTGTCTTTTAATTCTTCGTTTAAGAAACGACAACCTCGTGACCCTGCAGCTGCTCAGGACTATGTTTCTTGCTCAAGAACACCTGTGCTCACCATGCCACCCAGCCTCTCTGTGTCCTACTAATTTATGTTCATACACAACCAATTTGCAATACTGAGACTAGCACCAGTGCTGGAAGAAGTCTGATGATTATGAAGTGAAGGGAAAAGTTCATGATAAAACACCTTGAGATGTACCATCTCGTTTATCACCATTAATACAAGACAGCAGTGATAGATTAAATAAAAAATATAAATACAATTATCAGTATTGCAACATACAGAGAGACAATCAACAACAAAAAACAAGACAAAGTGGACCACATTAATTAATGAAAACATTACAACCACAATGTGATAATTTCTGGATTGTGTTCAACTTGCACATATCTTCAAAATACTTTGGCAATAAACTTGAGGGTCGTTAGCTTAAACTTTCTAAAAAAATGCATTTTTGTTGTTGCATATGATCATAATCCTTATTCCCAGGGGCCTGATAGTGTCCACTGTGGCAACACAGAAAGAGACAGACCTATCTCCACAACTGAAGCACCAGTCATATTGTCTGGCCGGTTGGGAGTTGACAGGATGAAATAAATCAGCTGGTCAACAGGATAAAGTTATAAAGATCACATTGTCTTTTTCCAGAAAGCTGCCAAACCAGTTGCATGCAAATCGAAGAACACGCTCACTAACTGATGAAATGACGTCTCAACTGACGCAACTAACAAAACAAAAAGAAAAGTGAGCACAACCGTCACTGTGCTGTGTGACGTTCAATGACTTCATTTCCCTGCTGTCGTTATGCATCAGTCCGTGTGTCACCATGTGTCACACCCAGCTTTCTTGTCAGATGAAGCGGGAGAGGGGGAGGAGGTCGGGAGATCGTCGTGCCCGGTCATTCACAGTGACGTGAAGTCATGGGAAAGCAACAGTGATGAACCGGGAGTGTTTCGTAATGATTCATCTGGGCTCCCATATGGACGCATGCAGGCGACTGCAGGGAACAGCTAAAGTGCAGTGAACTCTTTTTAAAACCTTTTCCCAGAGAACAGAAGTTCTGACGTGATCAACATAAATATGATCTAATTAACTGTAGATTCACTTTGTGATCGTTGACAAGTATTTTGAATAAACATAATCACAGCTTCCATGCAAAGATATTTTGCCTGAGTGTCTTCGACTTTATTTATTGGATAACACTGCATTTATTATTTCATCTCCTCAGGCAAATCATTAACCGTTAAACAAATAGATCACAAAACGAGCATATCTTCACATATCTTCTGTTTGCTGACATTTACGCATAAAGGCGGAGAGTAAGTAGGTGGTTGCTCTGTAACAGTAAACATCATTTTCTGTCAGGAGCTGAAGTGCTGAAGATGCTGCATTTTTTTTGCGGGTTTACAGTTCTGCAGAACGACGAGGGATTACTATTTATAAGCCCTCAGTAAAGGCTAAAGGTAAGAGGAATCTCTCTGTATCGGTAATTACTGCAGAATTTGGCGTCCGTGCCAGGTGCAAATCCTTGGAAATGGCCTTCATTACGGCGGAAGCTCGCAGACTGTGGCTAAGAAGTGAGGATAATGACAGTGTGGGATTAACCCTGCTCCCAACTCTCTTTACTCCTCTTCCTCCAAGCCCTCCCTCCACAGCCACCACCAGTCGTCCCCCCCCCTCCATCCCTCGTTTCTCAAAAGAGCCCCATCTCTCAGACAACAAGAAAGCTTGCCGAAGGGGGTTTTGATCATCCTGTGATGCACCGCTGTGTGACAGGTCTCAGACACAGATATTTAGTTTCCCACTCAAAGAAGCCCAACTCAGAAGATTAGTGGAGAAACTTCTGACACAGCTGGAGCTGAAATATTTCACTATAATGCAATCAGCACACCTAAAAAAATAGGAATCTTGCATTTGTTTGTGAATGCGAGTGTTGCTTGTGTGTGCGCCTTTTCAAATCTAGTTTTTTCATGTTTTCCTCATTTTTTTTGGTATTTATGCCTCCCGTCTCTTCTCAAAGTCAGACCAAGGTTTACTAAGAGGTCTGAATCAGCCAGCTTCTTCTATTTAAAAGTAAGTTTTCAAGCGTATGAAAAGAAGGATTAGCGGCTGTTTTGGAAAATCCACTTGAGTGCATTTGAAAAGTCTCCCCAGTCACAAGAAAAGGAAATTCAAATAACAGGTCTTGCATCTGGGCATTTGGTGGTACTGAAAGCAGTGAACGCATTTTCTATTTCATATCTGAGCATGTTACGTGTTCATTAAAATAAAAATCTTTGACCCGTGAGAATGTGCTGTCTTAATTAAAAGTATCAGGATGAATGTTTGTACACACAACAAAAATAACTCCAAATAGAATAACACCTTTATTTATTTTGGTAAGACAATATTGGAAATATTTTGCCATGAATAATAATCAATAATAATCAAACTGAAACTGTCAGTGGCTTTACAGTAAATAAATGTTGTTAGGAAGGACACTGAAACAAACTCT